ATTAAATATTTGTATGTTGTCCTTTATTAAAAATTTAAGTCAACTCTTGGGTCTGATTAGCTTTTAAAGGGACTGTAGTGTTGGTGATTCATTGCAGAAGCATTTTTGTTACATTTCTTGAAGTTCTCTTTTCACCCCAGTGGCAGTGAATACATCAAATGCATTGACAACAGAAAGAAAAATAATCTGTCATCTGTGGCAGAAGCAAGGCTGCAAAAGCCTGACAGGTATTTTTACTCATTTTGGGCAAAACCACTGGATAGCCTACCTACCTGTCAACCTAACTTCCTACACACATTGCAGGCAGATGCGTTACCGCTCTGTTTTGATAGCTAAAGCTAGTGAGCTATGGCAGAAAAGGTAGCCACAGCAGCTTTCAGTCACAATGGAGATTGTATTTGAGAAACTTCCAACTAAAAAGAATTAACATTGGTGTTTGGCTTTTGAATGACGGCAACTTTTAAGAGAGCAAAAAGGGGCTGAAAGTGACCGATGACTACATTTATGTCAAAGATGTAAAGATACATTATGAATATTTAAATTATAATGCACTCTAGGTGTTATAACGCATAACCACTAACCCACAGTCAAAGGTATATCTAGACATCTGGGAAAGATTAGAGACACTTTAGGTTTTTATACACTTTCCATGAGAATGGGCAAGTCTATATGCAGAAGTGTACCATTTAAAATGTCATCATAGCCAGGAGGGACATCAGGATTGGCAACATATGGTGAAAAAGACTAAACGTGAACCATAAAAAATAAATAAGTGGGACCAAATGAAAAGGGTTGAATTAAAAAACATTAGCTATTGTGTTTCCCTAAAAAAAGAATTTAAAAACTCACTTAGATCCTCTTTTGAAGTAGATCATTGTTTGAAGTTGAAAACTGTGACCAGTGAAATGTCTGCCTCATGCTGTGTACTCCTCGCACAACCATAAACCAGATGATGCTGTGGTTTTTCATGGTCTATGAGCTTTTCCATGGATAACCGGGCTAACCACACATTAGAATGAAACTCAGTCTCCCTCTCTCTCTGCCGGTTTGTCTCATTCAAATCCACCCAGCCTGTCTAATAATCTCTTTTTCCTTCTGCATCTGTGAGGAAGTCCGATTTCCATTAAACACACCCTTGGAGCCATGTCATTTGTAGTTAGCTTTAAATTTAATGGTTAACAAACCAGCGTTTGATGAAACACTTAGTAAAGACAGGTTTCCGCTTTTTTTGTGTTACATTTGCATAAAAGACACACAGTACAGTACTGTATGTGGTAGATTTGAATACAGAGACAACTCTCTTCATCTTACACAAGTAATTGTAACTGGGCACAAGTGGAACAGACTGTATATTTACAAATGAATACACACTTCACACATTTGACTGCCCATACCAAGAAGTGGTATCAAAAGAATGTCACTGTTTAAATCTGCAGTCTTTGAAATGTAGTGGTGACCTGTCAGCTCAACATGGTCATCCTGTTGTCGCATATTTGCCTCTGACTTATAATCTGCTTCCTTCTGTTAAACATTTAAGAGCTTGCCATTTAAGTGTTTTCATGCCTCATCACACTTACACTTAAATTTGACCTCAAATGTGACAATTTAATCCATAAAATCTAACTAAATGGCCCGGGCCATACCTGGCTTGTCTTCAATAGGTCACATCTGTCATTAAAGGCAACATGCTGAGCATCCAGCCCTACTCTTCATCACCAGTAATGAAATTCTCTCGTGAAAAATGGTCATTCAGTCAAAGAAAACACACGTTTAATGCTGTAACTGATGATTTTCAGTCCTGATCACAAGCGTCTTTGCTCACCTGTGGTGGCTTCGATCCTGTCTGCTTCACTTTGGATTTCTTTGATGACAGCATACACCTGGACAATGTAGGTGACCCCCGGAGTCAGTCCTGTGATGAGGTAGGAGTTCTTTGTGTTGGGAATCTGAACCTTGGATACAGTGGGTCAAAACAGAGACGTTTCAGGGTGGTTATAAAAACCGTGGTTGTGTCTTACAGCTTTCATTTGACACTTCCTCTTGATATAGCCAAAAAGAAAAGAAAAACTACCTGTTGCAGGGCACTCTTATCACCTTTGGGATAATATGTCAAAATGTAATACTCTGACCCAGAAACATTCTCCCACTCAACCAGGAGAGAGACGTCAGTAACCTGGACGAGCCGCAGACCTTGAGGGCTGAACACTGAGAGAGAAAAAGAGAGGTAGACACAGTCAGAAAAAGACTTTAATAGAGGTTGAAGAACATTTTAATATTCTATTTTAATACATAGGAACTGTATATAATCTCAGGGAGTACATTAAGGAAACAGCTGCCAAAAGACAAAAGGCACCAAGTCAGAAGTGTTGGGAAGTGAGAATTTCCTCAAACAAATTTGAAAAAACGTTCTGTGGGCACAACGGAAGGAAATAAATGGTAGATGGTGGCAGATTAAAGAGGCACAGCAAATCTAAGAATATCTACTGTATTGTTAACAATAATCCATTTGAACGTGTCTATAAATGAAAGAAAACACTTTTGAAACAAAGGAGCCGCAATAAAAATTGGGCAAACCATAGCATTGTGTTGCTACAGCTTTACAGACGTTATTGTGTTGACTTTTTATATTTCCATCTGCATTATATCCAGATTACCTCATTAGATGTGGTTGCTGAAAGTTTACTGTACATAATAGTTTGATGAATAGACAAGAGTTCAGGTTACAAAAAAAATATGTTATTGTAAAAGCATGGGCAATTCTCTACACCTCATGGCTTCTGCCTTTGGCAGTGGAGTTAAATTAATAACACAACAGTTATATTGACATTAGCTGCATGGAATGAAACTGCACTATACTGGATGTACAGTACATCTAAAGGCATTCTTTAAGAGCCATGTTGCCGTCGGCACCCAGGGAGCAGGTTGGCAGCCATCATCCAGGTGTTGACATGGCAAGTAGCCACATCAAACAAAGAATGCCCCAACTATTTTGCTTTTTATGCTCTTCTTCTGTTGCTGTTTATTACCACTACTGTTGCTAGCAAGTAAAATCAAGACAATGTATTATTTTTTCTAACCTCCCACTTTCCTTTCCTTCCTGTCTTTTCCTCTGGCATGGTGCCTCTGTTGGTGTTGGACTCCATTCAACAGCACCTACACACAAAGTTGCAAATCTGTCTCTCTGCCACTGTACTATCAAGGGTTTTGACACAGCTAACCTGCTACTGTGAAGATGAAACCATTTACACTCTATTCTACTTTCTAAAACTGTGATTCAGGACCTGAAATTGGCTGCAGAGCTTCTTTTGCTAGATCCAAGCGTAGAAAATGTCGAAAATCCACTGCTTTATATTGTGGGTGAAATGAAGGTGGAAAGATCTTGCAGACAAGTATAGATGGATGTTGTTATACAAAGAAGATTATTCTAATGCTTCTGCAGTCCAAGAGCAAAATATGAGGCAAAGCAAAATTGTCTGCAAATCACCTACAGCCAAATCTTCAGTATTTCTTTAGAAACTGTCACAATCTCAAATTGTGAGCTCAGTGAGGTAAACTGTCCATGCCTGACTGCTTCTGCTCATCTTTTTGCTTGCCTGGCCTTAAACTGCCATAAAATGCAATTTTGTACCTGGCTCCTGAGGCAGTATGCCGTGGTGATCGCGTGCATTTAGCAGGAAGGGTGAAGGTTCTTTTGCAGGGTTTAAAGCTTGATGAAACCCCAAAAGACTGATGGGTGTTCTTATATTCATGATATTATGTGGCCTGATATCATAAGTTGCCTAAAGGCCAAAGCTGCCAGTTGTTAAGGAGTCATTGCCCTGAAAGGGCCCCATCTGCAGCTTTATCTGAAACTAGAAAAATGCATTTCCTGTTAGTTAATTAAACTAACAAAAACAATTCCCTGCTCACTACTTCTCCCCATTCTAGTGTGTTCATCACAGCCTTGGTACATGTAGGTCAAATGTAAATCCCTCCTTCAGTTTTGTTCCTCTCTCATACTCTAAATGTGTCTGTTAGTTTTGTCTCCATTTGTGTTGATCAGGATTGGTAAGTTTTTCACCGTTTCTTGGGAACCAAATAAAGATATTATTTAAAGCTCATCTCGTCAGTGCCTAGCAGTGTAGCTACCGGACTATGTTGGGGACACAAAAGTGATTAGGGGATGTCATTTTATTTGTTTATTTATTTTTCTTTATCAGCTGAAGCGAAGATATTCTGACGTTTTGGGAGAGAAAAGAAAGGCTTTTTAATTCACCTTGGGTGTTGTAAAGCGCTATATAAACAAATACATTATTATTATTAAACTGTCTGTGATTCAATACTCTTGCCCCGAAGTTGATTATTATAGTCACACCATCTAATATTACGCCTCCTGATGTATAATTCAATGCAAAAATATCAATTTCTGTTCTAGGTTTATTTCAGTCACTTTATCTTTATCAGATTTCCCGCGATGTCCTCGATCCTTCTCTGACAGTTCGCCCAGAAGGGGCCCCGCTGGCGAACGCTTCTTTTTCTCCAGCCATATTAGCGCTGCAGAGTCCTCCAAACATTCTGTGACAAACTCCCCATCGAATAATGGTTTGCTGTTTTGGGCGATTTTGTGGGATATCACAAAGCTCGTCTCGACTGCCGCATCGAGAGGTGTGAGCTTTGGTTAAAAAAAAAAAATCCTTGCTGCTTTTGCAGTTTAGCTAGCAAAGATTCAGACATCCGTGCCCGTTCCGCATCGGTCAGGTTTTTCTACTGTTCGGCGTTTCGTCTGGTGATGGCGATTCAAGTTATAATCATTAAACACCGATATCTGTTCTCCACAAACTAGGCACACAGCTTTACCTTTGACTTTAGTAAATAAATACTTGGAAGTCCGTGCCTTTTTAAAAACTGCATTCTGAATCAATCTCTCTTTCTTCACGCTAGCTGACATCTTTCAGGCCTAAAGCTAGCAGCCCAACACATTCACATCACGGGGCGTAAAGTCACATGAGAAAAAACGTTAATTTAGCAGTTCCTTCAAAATAAAGAGTGCAGTTGTATTGCATGCACGTATTACTGTAATATATTTACACTGACTTAATTTACCAATGACTTCATGCGGGTCGTTCAGGGAGAGCCGGAGGGCAGGATGTGACCCGCGGGCCGTTCAGGGAGAGCCAGGGGGCCGGATGTGACCCGCGGGCCGTTCAAGGAGACCGCGCGGGC